GTCTTGAAACTTTCCGATCGCACCTCGTATGTGACCTCAGAGTGTTACCCTTGAATGAGCTTAGAAACATGAAAACGTGTACGATTTGATGTTTTGACAGCAGTGAGTTTGAAGATTGCTGTCTTCTGGGTTGTTGCTCCGTGCAGTCTGGTAGAGGCAGCAAGGACCTCTGAAACGTTGGTGGACATCTACCAGAATACACGGCGCAACCACCCAGAAGACAGCAATCTTCATTATGAAAACAGGTTGTTATTATCATTATGGTTCTTATCTACTGATTGTGACATGTGCCATAATGTGTTGCAGTATTTTTGAAAGTCTGGAAATTTATTGGTACCGAACAGTAACAAAGAAAAGCACACAGAACTCGATTGAACATCTCAGCAGTGGTTGGTGAATGAAGCAGCAGTACAAGTCATATAATTTGTACTCACTACTGCGTAGAAATATCCCTGACATCACACATGTACTGTGCAATGTATTGTGATAGCACATTGTTCATGGGCAGGGTTCCCAAAGACCATCACGTGTTTGCCCTTTTTTTCAGAATAGAAGCAGCTGCGTCAAAATGGTGGTTCTACATTTATTCCCTGGTGGAATCATTCACAAGAGAAAATGGAACAGAAGCTCCTGCAGATTCATCATCAGAAGAGTTGATAAAAACTTTTCAAAAGTTTATGGAACAGTCAACCCTTGGGGAGTATGAAGCCAGACTGAACATTTTGTTCACTTTTCACTGCCATGTTGTTCATATGCAACGAACAGTTTGCAGAGGTGAGCATGGTTTATTTTTATGTATTACATCAGTAACAGTCTTATTGTAAGAATTCTGATTTAACTCACGTTGAATTTTTGAATTGTTTGATCACAATTGAATTTTTCGAGGATTAAAGAAAGAAAAAACGCGATCATTCCGTAATGTGCCTTTTTTCTTGCCTACTATACGTACACCCATTCACGCCTGCCTGATCGACTACGCTAATCGGAGGAGTATATCGTGCCCTTTCATATGTATATTTTGAACTTTCTTCAATATAACGTGTTTGCCCCAAAAAAATTAGTTGCCATGACTTTTGAAGTAACCCCCATATAAGTGCGATCCACATCAGTAAGCAATACGAGGTGCCATCGGAAGGTTTCCAGACTGCGCGTATAAAAACCCGTACACTTATCTCAGGTATTAAATTCATCCATCACCCTCGAAGTAGTTCCCCTGGGAGTGAACACAACGATCCCAGCGCCGCTGCCAAGCCTGGAAGCATCCCTGGAAATCTTTCTTTGTCAGCCTGTCAAGCACCATCTGCGATTCTGCCTGAATCTCTTCTATCGTCTCAAATCTCCTTCCCTTTAGCTGAATTTTCATCTTGGGGAAGAGGAAGAAGTCACACGGAGCTAAATCCGACGAATAAGGAGGGTGCGGGATGACGGCCATAGTGTTTGAGGCCAAAAACTGCCGAACTTTGAGGGCGGTGTGCGCTGGCGCGTTGTCATGATGCAGCAGCCAGTTGTGGTTGCGCCACTTT